CCTCCTCCAGTTCCCCTTAACCATCCTGGCCATAGCCTCTGTCTTGTTTGGTCTCCACCTCCCCAAATCCGATTCCTCAGATTTTTCAGCCAAGCTCAAGCGCGTGGATTTCGCCGGCTCACTCGCCCTCATTATCACTGTATTTTCTCTACTTTTCGCACTCGACCGCGGCGGCAACATATCCTGGAGTGATACCCTTACACGCTCTTCATTTGGGTCCTTCATTCTCTTTTTCATTCTTTTCGGAATAATCGAGATGCGCCTCGCCAGCGAACCTTTTGCACCGAACCGAATCATCTTCAACCAGTCCCTCATCGCAGGATACCTCGTCAATTTCTTTGGTATCGCGGCAGCTATGAGCTTGATCTTTCATGTGTCACTTTATCTACAAGCAGTCGATGGAAATACCGCATCGGAAGCTGGCCTCTGGCTTGTTCTTTGCGTCTTCGGCGGCCTTGTAGGCTCCTTATGTGGAGGTTTGACGATCCAGGCCACAGGGAAGTTCTATCTTATCACGGTAGCTGGATATGGGACACAGCTTCTGGGGATGATTGCCGTCACTCTTACAACGAGAGGCGTCTTCACAAAAATGGTTCCATTTGGCATAGGTTGGTAGATTATTCGTCCAGTGTCAGGTGAACCTCCGTTCACAAGTTTTTTCTAGGCCTGTTTATCGGGAGCCTTGGAAATGGTGCGTCCATGCCGTACGAAATAAAATTGCCAGGCTGTTAATCATCATTAGGAAGCGGGATTACTACAAGCTTGATAGCCTTGATCGCCAATGCTGGTCCAGAAGACCAAGCAATCGCGACCGCTGGTATGTCTCTCTTTCTTGGCCGCGTTGGTTCGAGGTCTGACCCCGCCTCAGTTTCCTATCTCTTCCGTTCTCTTGGATCAGTCGTCGGGGTTTCTGTTGGAAGCACCCTCGTTCAAGAAACTCTTCGCACATTTCTTCGCCGTAATTTATCGGGAGAGAATGTAGAGGAGGTGCGTAGGGTCGCTTCGACACTTAGACCAGCCCTAAGGACTCTTCTCAGATTATTCTCCGTGTGCGAGAATCGCTCGACTATATCAAAGAATTAGAGCCAGCCATTCAGATCATTGTCAGAGCTGCCTACTCCCATGCGGTCCAGGCAACATTTACCTTCACTGTTGCGTTGGCGGGTTTAGGATTCATTTCCTCTCTATTCATCAAAGAAACTGCCTTGACCAGAAGATAACGATGTATCGAATAGTTCTAGAACTATATTTATGTGATGTATTTTAGAAGTGAATACGACTAGCCATGATAGGTTCTGATGGAGCGTGCACCTGAGGATCGAGTGACACTGAGTAATACGATGGTCCTTCACCTCATCTCGCGGGTTGACGAAGACGGCAACTATGAGGTCATGGATCCTATGCGCTGTCACGCGGGAAACTCTTCCTTTTACCTGAAGACAAGCCCCTCCTTTGATTAATCATCGTTTCTCTCGTTGATCATCAATAAGACGGCGATTTGTTGGTGCTATTTGTTACGCGGAAAGGATTGAATTTCAAGTTAAACCGGACCGTCCCCTAGCTGAGAAATGGAATGTGTCCTTTTCAAATGCCTGATAGAGATCATCCCATGCATTCTATGGACCACCGTGTTCGACATGGTCGTGATAATTACTAGCGGACTGGGGGATCGACAATATAGATACCTTTGCGTTCCCAGCACCTAACAACCCGTCCCGAATATTCGTCCAGCAAAGGTGGCCCCTCTGTGTCTTCAGGCCAGTTGCTCGGATAATCGGCAAGTAAAGGGTAATGGGTGCATTCTTCCGTATTATGTTCATCCTGATCCCAGTTGAAACTTCCCCTGGTCAGAATGCCATACTCGCTTTGCGCAAAAATCTTGCCGAACCCCAGGCAGACGCTGGTGAACGGGAGAGTCATAGGAAAGTGTGCGAGATTGATGATTCTGGGGATGGCGTCGATGTCGCGTGGAATGATTAGGCCGTAGACGGTTGTGCACGCGACGAATGTGAGGAAGGATGCAGTATCATCGTGCGAGGGGGCGGAAAGTCCACCAACCGATATTAGGCTGTGGGAAGGACACGGTAACTCCCACCGAGGTGTTGGTTCTTGAGTAGGAGCCACAGTGAAGGGAGCTTGCCGGGTAACAAGACAGAGGTCGTATATCATGATGTGGTTGTCTGTAAATACGAGGAGTCTATGGGATGGGAGCAGATGTATGCAATTCTGTTTTGATTCGGAGGTCAGCACGTGTCAAAGCCATTTGATGTTGCATTTACTCACTATAGTCAAGAAACGGAAACTAATGACTGCTGTGAAATGAACTTCTGATGATGATTTGACCCAGTCATAGACTTCAACGAAGCGGTAGGAAAGCCGCGCAAATAGGTTCCCATGAAGGGCAAGACCTTGTAGATAGCCTACAGTAGTAGGAACGGTGAAGGCCTGCACCAGAGTAGCCTTAAGGTACGCTTGGTTATCGTCACCTTGAAGTAGTTTGACAGCCCAAAATTTGATCTCAGGGAGAGATTTGTCCCGATAGGCATCTTGTGGGTCGTTAACAATTAGTACAAATGGTGGCTCATACATTATCATGCAAGTACCTAGACCAGTAACCCACTTCGTACAAGATGATACCAGAGTAAAAGCGAGGGATGGTGAAGTCTTTTCAATCTCGATGCACATGAAAAGTGGATGATATATATAGGGTGAAATTTCGAGCAGTATCCTCCCAGGAGGGCAAGGATGGTTTAGGTCATAGGCTCCTAGGCCCTGTGTCTTATAACCCCCTGAATGCACAAGGAGCCACCGCCCTCCTGGAACAAGGCAGGCAGAGGATACATTATCTTTTTTGATAAAGCGAGTCTGGGCTTTCTTCCGAGTTCTTTTGGCCGACTTCCATCTGATGTCGGCGTGAATCTGCGTTCGCATGAACCTTTCAAGATCAGAGGCGGAACACACGTCTATGGGCATCTCCAAAGGAGGTGCGTTTCTGTACTGCGACTGGTATTCAAGGACCAGTGCGCTCCAAACCGCATGAGACTTGGAAGCGTTGTGCAAGTATTTGCATGTCTGTAGTTACTGTGTGAATGGCTGAAGTTATGTTAGGAATTGAGAAGATGGCAACGCACCTTGCGGACCGCAATTATCTCATGCCAGTCCAGTTCTTCGAGGACTTGTGTAACGACTTCAAGAGGTGCCGTTGAGAGCATCCTTCACCTAAGAGCCAGATTGGATCTAGGCGGGCGTGAGATTGTAGGAAAGAAGCTCTGGAGCCAACGCGCCACGGTGTATATTAAGTGTATTTACTTAACCCTTTGGATGAATTTTCGTGACTCAATCGAGGCCGAATCGGGCCGATGATGGTTGATGACTCCCAGCTCCCAGGCTCCGAACTTAAGACATTCAACCCTATCCATGAGTCAACTCTGTTCAACTTTGTCCTCGCATACATGCCAGAGCCCCGAAATGGATCTATAATGGGTCAAATTTGGGGAGGTAATACCCCGAACGTTGAGAATCACATATTTTATGTGTCCGACTCCAAGACTCTCTCGAGTTGTCATCGTCGCTCCTCTCTGACTGACTGACTCCGGCTGGCAATGTAAACTAGATTTATCCGTGTTGCCGGGTTATATAGAGGACAGAAAGTCATTTTTCGAGGTGCAGATGATTGTTGCAAATTCTGTTGTAGATGATCACTTATCGACATCAACTTCTAGCCTGATCCTTACCTTGAACCAAGTACTTCGCTTCGCACTGCGCTTCTCCCGAACTGCTCATGGCTCTCCTTGCACCAGGACTTTCTACTCAACTCCACCCAACCGTAACGAGTCGTATTCCCAAGGAGCTTTACGACGCCGTAATATCTCACTTCCACGCCGATAAACCCTCGCTCACCACCTGCTCCTCCTGTCTCCCACGAGCACGACACCTCCTCACTTCCGCCCGCATCACGCGCCACGCCCTTGCACGGAGCTTCCTCGAACTCATCTCCGCTCCGCGTAATCTCGGCACGTTCGCACCCGCAGCCTAGATCTACTCCAGCGCGCGTGTAAATCCCAAGGGCACGCGCTGTAGGTGTCATGTGTCGCGAAGGAAAGTGTCTGCAAATGGCCGCGTGGTTCCGCCCCCGCGCAATACGACTGACAGAGCTTGCGCGTGAAAAAGTTCAAAACCATGTGCTTTACAGCCTCGGGATACTAAGGGCGAGGTATTGTGTATTTTATAAGTATTTTAGACACTGATTCCTAACATTTTAGGAGACAATTAGCGGGAAGGAAAAAGTACCTGGTCATCTATCTCTCTGCCTGGGAGTCGAACCCAGCTTTCGCGCGGTCAGTCGCCAGCCATGACAGGCGCGTGTACTAACCGATATACTAGCAAAGATTACAAATATGAGGCGGGGATATAAGTAATCATTCGGCGGGTGGACTTCCAATTGAAATAAAGCCACCAAATTGAGGCGACATTGTGGTGGCGGGGAATTTTCAAATTATTTGATTTCTGAAATCTCCTATTAACCGTGGGACTTGTTCGTTAAGCACATGACGTATCACCAATGCCTTTAAATTTCTACTTTACATCCATCTGCCATGACGGCCATGGAACCCGTCAGTGAGAAAGAGCACTCTGACTCCAGTGACCATGGTACTGATAGTAGCATTGAGTCTCGCAGCTTGACGATAAACGCGACAAAACTCCAGTGGATCAGCCTGCGCTCGACCTTAGATTCCATGAACCCCCACCTTCTCC